CACTGCCCAGTCTCCCCTGCACTACTGCAATAGCCCCCTGACACTTCTCTCTGCTCCTACTTCTGCTCTCTTTCAAATTGTTCTCCACATAACAATCAGATCAGATTTTTTTAATCTATAAACCAGACTGTGTTTTTCTCTTGATTAAAACCATTTGATAGCATTCCATTGCTCTTACCAAAAATAAGTAAGTAAGTAAATAAATGAAGTCCCAATCCTTTACCATGACCATGAGACCCTCTGTCTGATCTGGTGCTTGCTTTATTTAACAGCTCCATATGGTGCTACTATCTGCCTCCTGGGCTTTAGCTGTACTAGTGTCCTTTGAGTTTTTGGAACATATCTGGCTCTTTCCTGCCCCAGGATCTTTGTACAGCTCTTTTCTCTGCCTGATTCACCCAGTTCCATGCTCCTTGAATGGCTGCTCCATATCATCTTTTAGGTCAATCACATATCTCCCACAGGGCCTTTCCTTCTCTTCCATTTTCTTCTATCTCTGTTCCTCCTTTGGTTTTATAATAACAACACTGTGACGCATAAGAACACTATTAATAACATTCTGTGGAATTCGTCATTCGTCCTCTCCAAGGTGACAGCTCTAAGAGGGCAGGGACCCTGTCTATATTGTTTGAAGTTGTATATTAAGCAGTTGATACAGTGCCTAGGAAAGTTGTAGCTCAGTTTGCAAAATGCTTAACCAAACTTAGAAAGGAGGCCTCCATGTAAAATGTCATCTGTCACCCAGAGATAGATCAAAATGCCCATCCATGGACTTTTGCTGTTCCTACACCAGACCTGTTAACAGCTTCAGGATTATGCAACCTGCAGCTCCAGGAGCCTTGACTGGCTGATGAGCAATGAAGAGGCAGTGAGAAGGTTAAAGTCAGTGGTTGGAATGGTCCTTGCTTGCCTCCCCTGTTCTCCTTATTCAGCCAGACTTGGGAAGCACAGCAAAGTGGGCCTGGTCTCTTGGCCTTGTTTCTGGAGATGCTTGAATTTGGCTTCTCTGGTTTCATAAGAGGTGGAATCTGTTTGAAAACCTCACAACCTTAGCTTCATCATCTGAGTTGAAACTTTGGCGGGGTGGCTTTCATCGAATTTTATGTTGTGTGGCAGGATGGAAAGGGCTTGGAACCAGAAGCTGGCTTAGGTTTTCGGATGCCTCAGTTTTCCCATCTGTGAAATAAGAATTGGGCAAGATGATTTCTAAGGTCCTGTTACCAAAAGCTCAGTCCGTGTCCCTGGTACCAAATCAGAATAATGGGGGGCTGGCGCTGTGGCTCACTTGGTTAATCCTCTGCCTGCGGTGCCAGCATCCCTTATGGGTTCCAGTTCTAGTCCCGGTTGCTCCTCTTCCAGTCCAGCTCTCTGTTGTGGCCCAGGAGGACAGTGGAGGATGGCCCAAGTGCTTGGGTCCCTGCATCCGCATGGGAAACCAGGAGGAAGTGCCTGGCTCCTGGCTTTGGATTGGCGTAGCTCTGGACGTGGTAGCCATTTGGGGAGTTAACCAATGGAAGGAAGACCTTTCTCTCTGTCTGGCTCTCACTGTCTAACTCTATCTGTCAAATAAAAAAAAAAAAATCAGAATAATGAGGACTAGATTTGGGAGTGAAGGAAAGAGAGCATTTAATCTGTCAACAGAGGAGAGAGTAACAGACTTCCAGATTTCAAGGACTACCACTCTACCCAGTGAGGATGCTTGGGGGCTTATAAAAGGAGTACAGGTAGGGCAATATCGTGAAAGAGCTGCCTGTCTCTGGCGTCAGGTGGCACAGCTTGTCACTATAGATGGATGACAGTGTTTTCCTTCTCTGCCTCATCACAGAGGTCCTTGAGGTTCACAGGTGTTGAGAGGAGGTCCAGACTGACCAGCTCCTTTGCTCTGGAGAAAGAGTTGAGATAAGGAACCAGCAGCCCTGAAGTGTCAACTTCTCAGCTTTACATTTTAGGAGTGAAAATTGTTGGCTAATGTTGTTTTATAGCTGGGCACAGTTCCCTCCAGTTTTAATCACTGTGAAATCTTTGGTTCCTGTAGAAATTATAGATGCTGATCCTGGAGATAAACACAAAAACTACAGTCTTTAAGGAAGCAGAGCCTTTCCCTAAAGTCATTTTTATGGAGAAATAGTGAACATCCCCCCCCCCCCCCCACACACACACACTTCAGTAAGGAGAGAGAGAGAATGAGAATGATAAATACCTTGGAAATTGAGACTCCTTCTCGAAAACCTCTGTGGAACTGCCCTTGCCAGTTTATTAGAAATTATCCAAGGAAAAATATTTTGGAGTCTACTGGTTTGGGGCTTTTGATGATTTGTACTTCACCCTCCCAGGCATTTAAAAGGTGAATCAGTAGAGAACAGTGAATGCCTCCTCCTAGGCTGTAACACCCTGGAATGGAATCTTTTTCACTTTAATGCAAACTTGAGCTACATGGTCACCCAGAAAGCTGCCCTTTCCTGAAATAATGCAACTGACAAGAGAGAAAGAAAGGCAGACTTGCTTCTTCCACTCACAGGTGTTAGAAAGCTGAGCCAGGCGGGAAGAATCTGAGCAAATGCGCCGTTTTCACATAGAGTTTAGTTCTCATTCAGTTGGTGGTAGCTTGCATCTCTCTGATTAACTGCTCCTGCTGTGGTTGGCCCTTCTACTGAATGCTCATCCCATTTATTCCCCAAACAGCATTGGGGTCCCCTGGCAATTTCTCATTGTTGTTCCTGGTAAGGAAACTGGGATACTTAGAGGTTTGAAGTAACTTGCTAAATTAAGCCCCAGTTAGCAAGTGATTGAGTTGAGATTTGTACCAAATAAAGGAGTCATGAATCTTTCTTTGAGCCTACCATATAGCTAAGCACATTTGCTGTATTTTAAATGGTAGTGAAAAGACAGTAGGAATTAGTGACTCTCAATTCACAGGTCAAATGGTGTTCGTTCTGTGTCCCTTTCCTAAAGACTTTGGGTGTTTTCTTTTCATCCAGTCTTATCAATACCCATCCTTCTTAATAGGATGCTTCTCAGGATTTATTTTGAACATTCCAGAAGTGAAAACCAAACCCTGAGTTAAAATAATTCGCAGTCATATTTCATATGATCACTTTAGTCTTTCCCAAAAGCATGGCCTTATTTGTAACTGAGAAACATCCAGACCTGTTGCTTTAAATATTTAATAAAACAGGTCTTCCCTCCCCCCACTGAGGCCCACTCTGCTCCCCAATCACTTTAATTATGTGAGCTAGAATCCTGTTTCTCACACATCTTCAGTTCTCAACCTTGTTAAAATTAATCATATAATCCCCCTTTAAAACATAGTATTAAATCACCATAGTAACACAGTATCCAAGCTTTACAGATAGAACATAACAGCTCTAAGAAGGTAGCATTTGGTGTCCCCTTGACAGCTCTATAACTTTTATAGAAATGTATTCCTCCTCCTGGCTGTGTAAGGTGGAGGGATACCATTACTTACTCCTGCTTTATTGCCACCTTGTTTTTGTTCACCTTCCTGGTTAACTAAGGAGAGCAGAACCCTGTCTTCTTTCTGAGTCATTTTCCTGTGCCCTCTAACCCTTACGAGAACTGGGTTTGCTTCCTTGAATATAACCAGGAAAGCTCCATTGACCTTTGTGCTGGGATACCCGGAAAATCCCATGGATTTTAATTTTCTTATGTGGCTTGAATAAGGGAGTTTATAAAGGAAGGCCATTCCAAGTTTGGAAATTTAATTCATGTCATATTTAAAGACTCAGTAAGAATTCTGCCTTTGAAAGGGTGCTGGTAAACCATGATGTTTCATTTCCTCTGACAATTTTGAAGCAAATTTTAGGTGTACGATGGATTCAAAGTGTTTTACCAATTTGAACATACTTTGTGTAACTCAATTTGATATGTGCAATACAGGGTGAGTTGTTGAGTCCCTTAGAATAATTTAGTATCAAATTCTAAAATGTTAGTATAATTTAAATATTTGGGATATTTAAGTTTTTTAAAAAGGAATCTAATGCAAGCTAACTGGTAAGTGGATTTTAAAACAATTTGTAACTTAAAAAAAAGGAGCTTATAGGTTAATTTGATTAGTAATATGCTCTTTAATTTTTAAAACATATCTCCTATTTCATATTGCTTTTATGTGTGATTCACTTACTGTTTACATTTCTTTGAAAGCACATTTTGGTATTTCAGTCCTCATAAAATAGAAAATATGTTCCTTATAAATGGAGAAGTTATGAAAGACACAGGAGTCTAGGAGAGTAATACCTAACCTTGCCTCTTTGTGCTGCTTCCCATTTGAATTCTAGCTCCTTCCCTTGGCAGCTCTCAGAACCTGATTCAGTTACTACCGATTCTGCCCTTTAGTTTCCTTTTCTGAATAACGGGAACATCATCTAAATCCAGGGTTGTTGTGAGAATGAGAGACTTGGTCTCCATAAGATGTCCATCTTTCTGGCTGGCACATGGTAGACCCTTACATCCTGCTGTTGCGATCACGATTATTTTCTGAACCAGAGGAGTTACCAAGTGAGCATAATTAACAGCAAACTGACAGATTGGCCTTTGGAGTCAGAGCTGGGTTAAAAAAAAAAAACAAAACAAAAAAACAAAAACCAGCTTCTTGCCACTTATCAGCTGGGACCTTTGGCTATGCATCTCTAGACTACTTCTTCATCTATAAAATGATGTTAATCGAATGCATCTTTCAGGATTGATGGGCTGATTAACAGAGCTGCCTCAGGCTCTGAACCCAATAAGGGGAAAATACGATGGCCGTGGTGATTCTGATTTCTGACCACTAGAAACTGCTGCTGTCTTTTCTTTCTTTCCTAATTTTTTTTAACTTGATAGTTTGCAGTCTGTTCCCTTGAAGTGTATAAATTTTAAGTTCATTTCTACAGAGTTCCACTGAGAGAGGAAATGTTGCAGGTTCAACGACTTGTCGTGATTAGATACTTTATCAAGAACCTTGCTGCACATTCATTTTTCCCTTTGTTCTGTCTCGGCTGCAGCCTCACAGTCAGCCAAGTTGGCCAGAACTTCACATTCGTGCTCACTGACATTGACAGCAAGCAGAGGTTTGGGTTCTGCCGCTTATCTTCAGGAGCGAAGAGCTGCTTCTGCATCTTAAGGTAAGGGAGACTGGCCCCGGCTACTGGCTAGTCCCGTGAAGCAGTGTCAGCCTTGGCATTGTTGTTCTGTAATTAAATTTTCCAGCTGTTCTCTTAATTTCCCTATCTGTTTCCCACAAGTCATTGCACTTGGGGGGAAGGACTTCACAGTGTCATCCTTGCACTTCAAGTTCTGCAGATAATTGTATTTATTTATTTGCATCACATCCCTTGGGTGGGAATGGGACCGTTGCTTCCGCGGCGTGTGTGGAAGCTGGAGAGTCAGCGTGGCTTCAGTTCCTCCTGCTGTTATCTGGAGCTGTCAGGAATTAGCCTGTTAGGCTTTCCCTGGACATTTTGTGTATGTGAGATTATTAATAAAGTATGCGCCTGTAGCTCAGGATGCCTTGCAGACCCAGCTCGTGTGCTCTGCGCAGCAACACCCTTGCCCCCTTTGGGTCAATGAGTGAGTAACTATTTCCCAACCCAGCTACCCCTGTGGAGGTTGGAACAAAGGACAGACTCCTGTGAGAAGGCCTCCTCGGGTCTCCTAAAACCACTTCCTACACCAGAGCCACACTTGCTTAATGCTTTGCTTCCTCCTGCCAGAGGGGCAGGTTCTGGTTGGGGGTGTGTGTGTGTGGAAATCTGATTTCTGAGCTGTGGCTCTGTGGGCTCCTGCTGGGCGCCTCCTGAGGGGGAAGTAAAGGCATCCCACACGCTCTCCTCTCCATCTGCCTTGCTTAAGTAGGTGTCAGAGGGGCCTGCCTCCTGTCTCTCTCTGCTCGTGTGTGTAGCGGCCCCAGGCAGGGCAGCAGGGAGGCGCCCCTGACAAAACCCGGCCCCTCAGTCTTGGGCTTGGGCCTGGGGATGAAAGGCCAGACCCTCTGTGGATTCCAGAAAGGGTAGTTCTCTGCTGCACTTCTTTCCCTTTCTCAGCGAGAGGAGACCTCCTTCCTCTGTCACCCAAAGCTGTGCACCCTCATGGTGTAGGGGCAGGGAAGTTTCATCTGCTCACTGACTGTTACCCTGGACCGCTACATGTGTGCATTGTTGTCTGTCAGTGAAGTCGACTCTCCTCTGCACCAAGCAGTAGCATTTGTACTTTGGGCACAGGAAGACAACCGCTGGAGAGCCTTCAGGATGGGGTGGCAGTGGGCTTCCTGTGTACAGCTGTTCTCACGCACACCCCAGGAGCCCAGATCCCAGGATCACCTGCCCAGAGTATTAGACTTCAGTGCCAATGATTATTTACTTTTTGATTGAACAGTGGTCTTTCTCTGTCTTTTTTAAAGAAAAATTTCTCTTCCATTTTTGTCTGTTATATTTCAGCCTTGGCCAGGACACTGCATATTTCTGTATTCATTTGGAGGAGGTGAGGGCTTAAACAGAGTTCTGGGAGTTCTGCAGAAAGTTTTTTCCCCATATTATTTTGGGCTACAACACTTTCTTTCTTTCCAAACTGGGGTGGGTAGGGGTGTGTGTGTGTGTGTGTGTGTGTGAACTCTAAATTGGCACTACCATACTCAGCAAATTTATGAGAGTGGAAAACTGTTTATTTGAAAATTTAAATTTAAAATCACTCCCCTCTGACTCTTTTGTGTTTGACTCTGTGTGCCTATTCATAGAGTTTGGATTTTGTGTTTGGGAGAAATGAGTTGAACAGATTTTCATGCTGTCATCATTTAGAATGAAAAATAGCAATTGGTGGGCTTTATCTGTTACACGATCCTGGAGCTATGGAGACAAATTTGGTGGGTTAATTCATTCATTTGTTTGTCAGCCCCTAATTGAATGCCTAGTAGTAGCTAGTCCCTGCCCTTGAGGCGTTTGCAGACCAGCAGGAGCCGGGCGATCACGCCACAGTGTTGTGAGCAAGATACAGACTCCTCCCAAGGTCTTCCGTTGATGTTCTAGTGTCAGAGCATAGTGACTGTGGTTGAGAACAAAGTGTCCTCTGTGAGTTTTGGAACATGCATTTGGTGGGTATTTAACATGAGATGTAAAACTTCTCTCTTGATCTTTTCCAGCTTGTGTATACGGTGGCACTCCCCTGTGTTTTGGGAATGTTGTTGCCAGCTTGAGACTAGCATGTAAATGGAAGAGTGTGAGTTACGGCTTGCTGACTGGTTGGTAGTGTGTCCAATTGGGGGCTGGTGGTGGAAAGGGTAGTCAGGAGCATGAGGGTGCAGTTTGGGTCAGTGCTAGGTTATTAGCACCGTCCTCTATCGCTGCTTAGTCTTTTTGTTTCCTCAGATGCTTCCCCTTGAGATAACCTGTGCCTGGGGTCCAGTCCCCCTTCAGGGTGTGCCCAGTGCTGCAGCTCAGGTCTGCTCACAAGCAACCTGTACTTTGCTTTCTCTTGCTTCTCGTGAGATATCTGTACAGACACAGCTGGCACTATCCCGGGATTTGGCTTCTTAGGACCACTTCCTCCCTGATCTCCCAAGCACAGTTCACTCACTTCTCTGCCTTCACACATGTACCACCTCCTGGACTCAACAGAGGCAGCTCCTCAGAGTAGCCTTCTGCAGGCACAGGTGGGCCTTCCCTCTGGGCACACCGGCTGCTTCATGTCCTGCAGTTCTGTACTTGCGAGCTGTCTCCCTCCTCTCGGATGGTCAGCTCTTCACGGGAAAAGACTGTGTCTTTATCAGCCGTGGATCTCCAGCACTCAGTGCAGTGCTTGACCAAGATACTGTGTGGGGGTATTCATAGGAAAGGAGATCATCAAGAGTGGAATGACAGGGCACTGAGGGCTCCAAACGGCAGAGGGACATTCGTTCAAGGAGAAAATGTGAAATAGAGATACTGGCAGAAGCATAGTTCCTGTTGCCAGTCTTTTTTTGTACTGGTTGTGAGAAGTACATCTTTGAATACACAGCAGAGGTGCGCTGTTGAGTGCCCGTCATTTTGTCCATAACGGACTGGGCCATCGGTGTGACAAGGTGTAAGCTTCCTTTCACCTAAAGAGTCTTAGACATTTACTATACCTAAAGTACTTAATATGTTCATTTTTATTTGCTGCCCCTCTCTACTAGAATGTCATCTTCATGAAGCCTGAGTATGTCTTTTTTTTTTTCTTTTGACAGGTAGAGTTACAGACAGAGAGAGACAGACAGACAGACAGACAGAGAGAAAGGTCTTCCTTCCATTGGTTTACTCCCCAAATGGCTGCCATGGCTGGTGCTGCGCCGATCTGAAGCCAGGAGCCAGGTGCTTCCTCCTGGTCTCCCATGCAGGTGCAGGGGCCCAAGCACTTGGGCCACCCTCCACTGCCCTCCTGGGCCACAGCAGAGAGCTGGACTGGAAGAGGAGCAACAGGGACTAGAACTGGCGCCCATATGGGATGCTGGCATCTCAGGTGGAGGATTAACCAAGTGAGCCACGGCGCCAGCCTCTTGAGAATGTCTTGAAATTTACTTTCACTTTATTTGGAAGAGAGACAGAGATCTTCCATCCCCTGTTCACTTTTCATCCACTGTTCACTTCACAGATGCCCACAGCATCTGGGGCTGTGCCAGGCTGAAGCCAAGAACCAGAAGCCACATCCACGTCCCCGGTGTGGGTGTGCGGACCCAAGTACTTGAGCCTCCCAACATCAACATCGGCAGGAAGCTGGATTGGAAGTGGGAGAGCAGGGACTGAAACCAAGCACCCTGATACAGGATGCGAACATCCTAAGTGGTGACTTAGCTGCCTTGAGGCCGGGAATTTTTGTCTGTACTGTTTTCTTCTTCCCACATGAAGTTTATCAGAGAGTATCTGGCACATTGCAGGCACTTAGCAATCCTTCTTCTAGGAAGAAATTAATCCCTGGGAAATAAGCCAGCATTGATTAAAATTTAAAATAATTTAAACTTTTTCTTCTTAAATGCTACTTTAAAAACTTTCTGATAAACATATAATTCTTGTACATTTCTTATAGGGTATAGTGCAGTCAACACATATATACAGCGTAAACCAATCAAATCAGGCAACCAGTGTTTCTTTATCTCATCTTCGTGTTTGGAGCCTATTGGCTCCTTTCTTCCAGTTCTTTATACCACACATAATGTCACTGTGAATTGTAGTTGTTCCTAGCATTGGAGCTTGTTGCTTCTGTCTGTATTTTGGAATCCGTTACCCAACCTCACTCTCTAGAAAGTGTTTAAAAGTTGAGGGGCTGGTGCTGTGGCACAGCAGGTTAACGCCCTGGCATCCCATATGGGCGCCAGTTCGAGACCTGTACTCACAACTAGTACAAAAAAGACTGGCAACAGGAACTATGCTTCTGCCAATATCTGTATTTCACATTTTCTCCTTGAACGAATGTCCCTCTGCCGTTTGGAGCCCTCAGTGCCCTGTCATTCCACTCTTGATGATCTCCTTTCCTATGAATACCCCCACACAGTATCTTGGTCAAGCACTGCACTGAGTGCAAACTTCCAATCCAGCCCTCTGCTGTGGCCTGGGAAAGCAATAGAGGATGGCCCAAGTGCTTGGGCCCCTGCACCCACGTAGGAGACCCGGAAGAAACTCCTGGCTGCGGCAGCTCCAGCTCTTGCAGCCATCTGGGGAGTGAACCATCGGATGGACTCTCTCTCTCTCTCTGCCTCTGCCTCTGCCTCTGCCTCTGCCTCTCCTCTCTCTGAAGAAAAAAAAAAAAAGTTTATTTCAACTCTCATCATCAGCAAAATATGATGGAAATGTAGCAGTACTACAAAGTTGTGTTAGCACAGACACCACTACAAAATCGAATGAATTATTTCTTCCCATGGTTGACTTGTTTCTGCCATTTAAAGATTTTACTTGTTCTTGAGATTTCCTGTACTTTACATTAACTGGTTGCTGAATGGTGTTTAATACTAAATTAATAGCACCAGCTAGGAGAACAATTATTTTGGGTAGGTTAGTTGTGCTTTGTTATAAGCCCAGGAATGGCAAGAATTTCAGCATTTTTGGATGCATTTTACCACTGATGTCTCAAATTATTATCAAAATGGAAGACAGCTGACATGAACCAGCGTTGTGGTATAGTG